TGAAAAGAGCAAAGCTTGTGCATTTTAATAAATATTGGTTGAAGTAAAGTAACTGCAGATCGCCAGTCCTTGCGCTATGAATCGTCAAATTACACACGGAGCTAACGAATATTTAAGAATTGAAGACTGATTAATGTACATGTAAAATAAATGCCCCAGCGTTTTGTACTAAAGTCAAACCTAAAACATTTTAAGATATTTTTGAAAGATTTAATTTACTTAGAGAAAATAATATTTTCTTACTGTTGTGGTGAATATACCAATTATTTTGCCTATGACTGCTGGGTCAATGGTTCACCGCGGTGTGTCGCTTTAGAATTTCTCAGCCGCGTGTAATCGAAAGATAGATTACGTAATGGCAAACACACTTAACAATTTTATCAAGAATTGATTTAACCATTCTGTAATGGTTTATTTTTTGTGTATGACTGTAGGTCGCTGGATCACACGCCGATTGATTCCCGGTGACCGACTTTGCCCCGCCGCTATCGAAGGAGGCGCGTTATATAATTGTAAACAAACAAGGTGAATGTTAAAGCCGTGCACTTAATGGCTGTGAATAGTATATGTGCTTTTTAGTTATGTTTTATTTTCTCACTATATTGTTTGCTTTTATGTGATAAGAAGAAAAGATTATATTTTCTTCCCTTTTTAGTAGACTTCAAGTTGGTTCATACGATTTTTAAAAAAATGAAATAAAAGGGAAAGTTGTCAGTGAATAAACATGATAATTTGTAATAAAAAAAAAAGCACAAACACTTCGAAAATTTTATTCTGAAGAATATTAGCATCCAGTGTAGCCATGTTTATTATTTATAGTAAGCTTGCTTTGGTTACACGCATGAGGAGCTCTCGTTTACGCGCTGAGTGAAAAGAATCATCTGTGCATATATAGGCCATGCACCAGCTCATTTAAAACAAGACTCGAACACAATAACAATTTCATGAGATCAGTAAGATGTTAAAGCACAACTTTATAATCGATAGTCATTTCGAAATATTTACCGTTTTTGAGTTATAAAGCAAAAACTTTCAAGGTCCCTTGATCCCTAATTCTAGGGGCCAGCCCCTTTTGAATATTATTATATGAAAGCCCTTGCAAGTATGCACAACTTTTGTTCATTATGTCTTAACAAAACATTTTTAGTTTTGAAGATAAAAAGGAAAAAATGCGTAAATTTTCGCTCTTTTAGGCGTTCTAATTTTTGACCCCTATATAGCGCCATTGTGAATACAGAAATCGAAAAACAAAAACCGATGTGCACAACTTCAATCCTTCTGTTACCTAAAATCAGTAAAAATTCTGCTCCAGCTTTTGTGGTCTCTGAGCCTTTATCCGGAAACGAAAGCCTATAAATTTTCGTTTAAAGGGGAATAACTCAAAAGCGGAAGTAAATTTTTGAAATGTTAGATACTACTCTGATAGAGTTTAATAATGTCTATAATGTCTGAAAATTTGAGTGAAATCCGTTGATAAATGAGTGAGATATGAGGCCTCAAAGTTGGCGTCTAGGAAGTAGAAGAAAAAAAAAAGAACTAGAGCAAAGCTCGTTGCAAAGCAACGAGAAGGTCTTCCGTCCTGTTTGACCGGAAGTAACTTTCATTCCTACAAAAATGAGTAAAAGCGTCCTAAAATTGTTTAAATCCTCTAAATCTTTGTCATTTAATGCAAAAATCAGACAATTTTTGCTACTTCCGGTTTGACTGGAAGTGACGACGACGGACGGAAAATTAATTTTTTTGCTCCCAGTGACAGATGTTACCCAAAAACTTGTCAAGAATGGCAAAATATGCGTTTTCCGACTACTTCCGGTTTGACCGGAAGTGACCTCGCCGGACGTACTTTGACGACCTCAATAGATTGAGCTTGACATTTTGAACAACTTTGCTTCTTTGACGTATTACAAATTCTCAAAACTTTTTGAGATATAAAGGAAAAACTTTTGGCCCCTCTTGGCCCTTAATTTTAGGAGCCAGTCCTTTTTCTGAGATATCATTTGAAAGATCTTTTAATTCTGCACAAATTATGTTCTATATATTTTAACAAAATATTTTTAGTTTAAAAAATAAAAAGCAAAATATGAGTAATTTTTGGCTCTTTTGAGCGTTCTAATTTTTGACCCCTATATAGCGCCATTTTGAATAGAGAAATCGAAAAACACAACTTCAATCTTTCTATTATCTAAAATCAGTAAAATTTTTGCTCCAGCTTTAGCCGTCTCTGAGCCTTTGTCTGGAAACGAAAGCCTATAAATTTTCGTTTAAAGGGAAATAACTCAAAACCGGAAGTGACTTTTTGAAATTTTCGACAGCATTCTGATAGAGTTTAGTAACGTCCAGTACCTCTGAAAATTTGAGCGAAATCAGTTGAGAAATGAGTGAGATATGATGCTTCAAAGTTGGCGTCTAGGAAGTAGAAGAAAAAAAAAGAACTAGAGCAAAGCTCGTTGCAAAGCAACGAGTAGGTCTTCCGTCCGGTTTTGACCGGAAGTGCCGGAAGTAACGTCAGCAAAAGAAAGCAATGAGCTTAGTAGTCTCCAGTGACTTTATAATTTCAATTTTGCATCAAAACCTTCAAAATAAACTTTTTTGGCTACTTCCGATTTGACCGGAAGTGACGTCGACGAACGGAAAATTAATTATTTTGCTTCCAGTAACATATGTTACCCAAAAACATGTCAAAAACGGCCAAAATATGCTTTTTTTGACTACTTCCGGTTTGACCGGAAGTGAGGTTATTTGACGACTTTCGACAATTCAGGTTTCATTTCCGGCTGACATCAAAGCCGGAAGACCAGAAAAAACTCAAATTAAACCATTTTTTCTATTTCTTTTGATTCAAGAGAGAAAGTTAAATTTTTCGTCAACTTCCGGTATAAACCGGAAGTACTTCCAATTGATGCTTTTTGTTGACGATTGTGAATGTAAACATAAGTTCTGTTTGCCTTTATTCAAGACAGTTAAATTTTTCAAAAAATCTTGAAATTAAAAATCACTTCCTGTGTCGACCGGAAGTGGCGGATGCCAAATTAAAAGACATAATACATATCTTAAAGACATGTTTTACCATCCCTGAAAATTTCGTTATTCAGTCTTGAGTGGTTTACAAGAAGATGCGTGGACAAAATGACGATTTAAAAAATGAAAATCGGACAAAAAATGCGACCGGAAGTGATTTTTTAAAAAATGAAAAAAAGATCTGGAGATATTACAAAAATGCATCATTCCTAAAAAAATCATTGAAATCGGTTCAGCAGTTTCCGAGAAATCTCGTGTACTATGAAAAGGGAAAAATAATAATATAGGAAACATAAGAAAAACAGTAAGGTCTTCCGAAGGAAGTCGGAAGACCTTAATAATAATCTTTACCAACAGAATCAGTAGAAGGTCTTCCGTTGGAAACGGAAGACCTTAATAATAATCTTTACCAACAGAATCAGTAGAAGGTCTTCCGTTGGAAACGGAAGACCTTAATTATTTATCATGTGATCTTAAAAATATAAAACCGTTTAAGCGTCCTCTTAAGAATATTTCATTGTTCTTCATTTTTTTTTTAAATTCCAAAACGGTCAATTGACAAGAATTGCAACAAATTTATCTGTAAATATGTTCGATTGGTTCGATTTAATATGCACCGCAATATCCCCTTATCCTCAATGTTATTAAATTATATAATAATATATTTGAAAATATAAGGTTTTAACAATTACAAATTGTAAATATTGACACAAATATACTGGTATTATATACGTGGTTTGTTTTAACCATAATTAACCCCTTTTTTAATTTTTGTTTAAGTTATGTGTTTGTTTGGGTCGGGTGGAGTGGGGTTAAAGACCAGATTGTTCATCTAATTGTATATATTCATAAATCTATATTCGAAATCAAAATGAACTTTAAATTGACATTTTCTTGAATCAAACTTTTATGCTTAAATGCAACATTTGTTTTTCAAATTTTAACCTATTCTTATTTGTAATAAATCGTCCTAGCATATAATAGCGGAAAACATTTTCTTACTAAAAGTTTGAAGAACTAAAGTTTCAATATATTAAATTTTAACAAATGTGTAAATTTACATGTAATACATTTTCTTCAAGAATATCATTCCAACACTCTAGATAATCCCTCTTAAATCTTGTTTATGATTTTACAATTTTAAAAAGTGTTTGGAAGTTTTATAATTAAATTTTAAATCTGAAATATTAATTTTTTAAAAGTAAGACATTAAAAAAACTTAAAGATTCAAATTCTTAACCTTGAAATCATTTAAGATCTTTGAATTTTTAAGTGATACAATGACATATAATCATAAAATAACAAGAAAGGATTAGGTAGGTTAAGACCCCTTTTAGAATGAGGCAACAGTTTATAGATGGAAAACTACTCATCAACCCTGCCATAATATGAGTTTTGATTCTAAACTATAGGATACACAGAGATCACAGGAAGGTCAGAAAATATGTCAAGTTCCAAATATTCTCACTTTTATGCAAATTTTCTTTCAGAAAACATAGAGCACAAGCTTGCCCATCTACCAAAATTATATATTTCATGTATTAGTATATATATCAGAAGCATCTTGTGTGTAAAAAATCTCGGATAAGCAAGCTTGTGCTCTATGTTTTCCGAAGTGAACAGTATCTCAAATTTGACGAAATTCCACCAGAATTGAGAAAATTCGGGAAAATGTCCTATTTCTCCAACCTCTTCTGACCCCCAAGTATGCTTTGAATCAAAATAAGTGCTAGAATTAAAACATGCATAAATTTAAGTTATTCACTACAAACTTTCACAGTTTTAACCATGTTCTGATTTTAATATCAAATAAGGGGCCAGATTCAGTTGTACCATACTTTGTCTTTTATTTTATTGCTGGTCTGCTAACAATGTAGCAAAATGCTCTTGCTTTATTCTGCATAAATATGCATAAATATGCTATCGAAGGATACAGATACAGCACTTTATTCTAACATTATCTGTAAATGTTTCAGTACAGAAGTTATAAAGCATTTAAATTCAGAGTTACTACAAAGGCACAATGGGACATTTCATACTTATGGAGCGGATTATCCTTCATTCAAACCAGTGACGTGGAAGGCTCAGTGGTAATGGCACGCGCATTAACTATTGCCATAGAATTGCAATTGTTTATCATTTGTTTATTACGAATGAAAATCCTCACGACAGTAAACATAATAAGTACAAGGCCAGAGCTGGAAATGATCATAGAGAAAGGAAATCCAAACTGGGCCCATTCCGCTTTCTTGAAAAAGACGACGTTGACAACAATGAATTTAACCAGTAGGAAAAATTCGAATGTTGCTGTAATACAGATATAAGAATGACGTTACATTATACAGGCAGATTTTTTAAAATTTCTATTTACGGTTACTTAACCATTAAAGTTTTAAAATGAATTACTAATTACTCTTACATGCAACAAGCAGAATAATACCGCTTGTAACAAACAAAGAGGCAGATGACTCTTTGGAAATTGCATAAACCAAAAGAACCAACCAACCAACTACACCAAGTACGGTACCAAGAACACCGGCTAGTTGTGCATCTATCAAATCTAGAAAATAGACACCAGGAATTAAATTAATAGCAAAATGTTTTGAATACTGTCTTTATAAATTTTCATTGAATAATTCTACTGAAATATATTTACGAATGTGGATTAGTCCATCACATTCCGTAGCGATATCGTCGTAAAGAAATGCAGAGCATTGACCAGAACGGTAAGCACACATGTAAAATACACCGGCTAAACCACCTTCCTACAAAAATGAATAAACATTCAAAATTTTAAAACCAACATCAAATAATATTTTATTTAACGTGCTGTTTAGTACAAGGAAAAATTTTTTGGTACATTGTCTGTATTTAGAAATAAAGGTATAGGACTTCTTAATATTATAATTTATTTAAATCGACTTTATTGTATTACCTGAACTGAAATCCACCCAGGTGTTACCAAAGCAACGAAGCAAAGAAAGATACCACCTGCAGACGTCGACAAGTAAATGATTAGTGTTTTGGTGACAGCCATTCAAATCGTTTCTGGAAATATGTTAGAATACATGCTGGTCATAAAATCAGGTTTATTTTTGTTAAGATGCATCTTTACATCACCTGTGATATTTCAAAACTATGATTGCCTTCCCCCAGAGAAAAATATATGTACATTGAATTATTTTAAAAAAATGCTCCTAATTTTTCCCATTTCAAACAAAAATGTATCAATTATTAAACTTAAAAACAATAATTAAAATTATTTACTTTTATAGATTACGCACTGTTACATGAGTGTTATTATTTTTAGTCCTCTGAAAACTCAAAATTTATTCGGCAGTTCATTTTCATCAATTTCAATCATCATTTATGCAAGGAATCCATCACATCAAATTTTGCAAAAACAACCTCTTAATTACATAGTCATCCAGCAAAGATGAGAAAAAAACCCTAACATTTTCCGATGATATAAATTAAAAAGAAAGTCATACATAGCAGAAATGACGCATGGTACTATGAATTCATGAAAGGAAGATATTATCAACATTTTGTTGAAATAATAATTTACAAGTACCATATGAAAATAATGCATTCATACACTAATTTGAGAATATTTAAAAATGTAAAGTTGAATTCAACCATCGATAGGGAACGATGAATAAAGATAAATAAATGAACATACCTTTTTTCAATTAATTAAGATTTTTTCTCTCAAAATTTTATGCTTTAAACTTGGCCACAATATCTTTAAGTAAAGTATTAAAATGGTAGGAAACGAGAGAAAAAAATCTTTTTAAAAGTAAATATTTAAAGAGTACTTATAATTTTTATACCCACCAATAGGATTACAAGCAGGAAATAAAATACTAAAAATAATATTTTATATATTAAAAAATATTTTTTCTTTTTAAAACGTTTCAAAATTTTATATAAAAAATACAAGTTGATCGAAAGTCTGGTCTACATTTTAACAATACATTAGGGATGTAAACATCTCCCACATAAAAATCTTTCGGATGTTGCTTTAAATTATGTTAATATAACATATTTATAGCAATTGTATAAGTCAATTAGTCTGTCCTACAAGTTTCCAGTTAAAATAAAGGAGACCCATTATTTGATATTATAAAATTAGGTACCACAGTACATAACTTATCTTTTTTTTAAGTAAAAGAGTGCAACTACATATTGTTTCAAACATTGATTATTTAAAGAAAAAAATATTTTTCCTCTTGATCATTTTCAAGTTTATCTAAATAGGATACATAGAAATACAAATGGTGATATTAACACACTGGAATCGACCAGGGATTATATTGTAAGTTTCATTTCATTTCATTCATACCCAAAGGTAAAGTTAAGAATTCCGTTTTAACGTATTCTCCTAATCCCCCCCCCCCCCCCCAAAAAAAATTCCCTGAAGGCGTTCAGTCAAATGGTTTTGGGGAGTTGAACTATGTTCAATCTCCCATGGTCATCACGTATTTAACATGCGCAGTAATTTCTATTGATTACATAGAGACGAAAGCGAGGCTACTGTGTCGGCTGATTTACTCCGATGATATTCAACAGAAAACATGCATAAACATCCGCGACAAATAGTTCATGTCATTTTCTCCTGAATTAATCTAATTTTCACAATGTAAGTAAATGTAATGATAAAGTAATCTTATTTTGAATATTAGATTTCGTCCAAAGTACATATGTAAAACTAAATTATAAAGAACCTTGAAAGTTGTTCGTAATGGAACTCATTTTAGTGTAGCGTCATACACTGAAAGAGATACGAGCGACAACTTGAAACATACTGACGGCAAACGTTAAATTTAGTCTTATTTAAAATTTTCATGAACATTGAAATTGAATTCGTTAATGCATAAAAACTTTAGGAAAGATGCGTATTTATTACTCAATCAGCAGTATCACCTGCCAAAAGCGGTAAAACTAGTACTCTGTTATAAATATTAAAACCAAAAACGGACACCGATGTTTTCGTAAAATCGCGATTAAAAACAACAAAATGAAGTATATTTTTTAATAAAAGGAAAACCTCATTTACATACCAGATAATTTGTACGCACACAAACTCTCACATATACCACTGTTTTTATGTTTTGTCAATAAATATTTGTTTTTAACTTGGTATTGCTCTTTTCTTCACAATATTAAAAACGATGACGTTCGGACGTACTCCATGTATAATGTTCGTGTAATTGAAATACATTTTTATTCACAGAGAAGTTTTATATAACAAACCTGTTAGCTCTTAAAAGGATGCTGTGATAAAATCGACATTTTTCAACATTGATATTATTCCTGCGAAATGAAATTTTCATAACACATGGGTAAAGGTACAAAGGAATATAAGTTATTATTATTACAATAATAATATCCTTTATGTGACAGAGTTATACTAACTATAATTGTTTTATTTGTTATGATTTATTTCTGAGGAAACATGTTTTATTTGGTAATTGTTGCAAAGTTGTTTCATGTTTAAAACTATTTAGATCGGGATCAATTACCTAATTTTAATCTATGACACCATGGTCTTAATTTACAGCCAATCAGCGTGGCATCTCCTAATCACGTGACCATTGTTTTATTTTTTACCAAACGGGTGAAACACAATAAAGGGGACAGTAAGGTTGCACTTGAGGGTAAAAAATTAATGTCTTTATTTTGGTCCATAATTTTTTTTTTCTAAAAAGTAGATTATCTCAAGGATCTGAAACATAAACGGTTTTGTGAAATTCACAGTAGAACTTTGTTTTTTACAAGCTAATAATAACCTCATTTACACAGGTTACGGACACTACAAGTGTTGTTGTTTTCGAAATAAATATTGAAAACTGTTTATAAACTTTAATTTTTTCAACTGCTCACAAACAAACAACATATAAAAATACAAAATATGGACAAAGTTGTACTAAAAAAGGTTGCATTATACTTTAATATGAAAACAGTTCTTACTTTGTTCCTTTTTGTTTAAAATGGTAGTATTTCAATTTATGTGAACTCTTTAAAACCAATATAAGTAAAGAAAGAACTATTTATAAATAACATTTTTTATGCCTTTGTTGAAATATAAATACTTCCATTAAAATAGGAAATATCATTTTTATTATTTTCTAAAATAATTTGATAGCTTCATTAAGTTACGGACACTACAAGACCCAAATATCTATGATTGGCTTTTGGTTTGTGGTTAAAAAAAAATTATAAACTTCTGAACTACTTTGGTTTGTGGTGAAAAAAAAACTTCTGAACTATTAGAAATCTGATTTAAATGATTATTAAATACAAAATGCATGAAAATTATATATTGTTTCAAGTAAAAACAATTCACTCGCAGAACTAATGCCAATAGTAAAAAAAAAATCCAGTTTAAGAAATCCTGAAACTTCCTTTTTTCACATAACTATATATCTGAAGTGCATAAGAGAAGTTCTCTGATTCATTAAAGTTTTATGAAAACTATTTACAACATAGGTACACTGATCAACGAAGTCAATTAACCAAATTTTAGGGTTACGGACACTACACAATAATTAAATTTTTCACAGGTTTGAGGATGAAGTTTTTGTTTTTCAGCCCTTTTCCTAACTTTTTTCAGGATTTTATTTGTCGTTTCTGTTTCTCCCGATTTTTTTTATTCTTCGGATCTCAACTTCATCTGATAAAAGCATACCATAACCAATATACTTTGAATAAATATATACACATGTAACTTTATACAGGTGTTATGTGCAAGTAGAAAAGTCAAACCTTGAGGAATAAAGCTCACTTATATTTCTTTAATTTATTATTTTTTTATTCTATGAAGCATTCTATTTTTCTTCAAACAGTTAAATATACAATAATTTATCTGAAATTGGTGTTATTTTAGTTGTTTTCTTTTTTGAATTTTTTTGTAGTGTCCGTAACCAAATTACTTCCCTACTGTTTAACATTTTGAATGCAAATTTACTTGCATTTAACACATTTTAAGATATTACCTAATAAGCAACTAGACAATTGATGCAATATGTACAAGAAATATGGATTATGTAACTCATGATGATAATTTTTAACTATTTTTTATGTCATTTTGGGTGCCCAGTCATTATTTTAAGTTCTAACAGTAACGAAAAAAACACCTAATCTAAAAGAATTCCGGTCAATAAACACCTTTTTATCTCTAAATTTAATAATACACTGGTTCAAAAATTTATCTGTAAATTTTATGGAGAAAAAAAAATAAAGATATTCATTTTTCAACTTTTGGGTTACGGACACTACACTATACAAGTTATTTAAAATAGGATGAAACTTTAAACCTTAAATAGAGGAATTCGAACAAGATTTTCTTAAATGTAACACCAGTTGACTTAAACAATGAAAAAATAATGAAATGCTATTTGACTTAAATCCTAGGATGTCAATAGCATCTGCCAATATCAAAGTGATGTAACACCAAGGATCTTGTATATGGAATGGTGCAATCTGGGTTTCCCAAATTAGTTGCATTATCAAAATGAGAGAGAAAATAAAGTACATTGATTAACTTGTTAAACAAACCTCTGACCTTTGTGAATATACTAGCATTAGTGTTTTAACACAGCCTGTTTCAAACTGCCTCAAGTACAGGTTATGGACACTACAGGATTTTGTAGTGTCCGTAACCAAATTTGTGATCATAACAGAGAAACAGTGGTGATGATCAGGAAAATTACAACACATCTCAGCATCTATATCAAATGCCTCTCTAGGAAATTTGTTAAGATATTTGTAGAGCCTTCCAATTTCACAGAATTTAAGTGGTTACGGACACTACAGTTTTTTGTAAAAACTTAATTTTCCACATTAAAACATGATGAAATTTCTTTACAATGGTTACATAACCCAACTTTTTTTCTGTAAGTAACAGAGCATTAATACTGTGATTTTAGACAGAAATCTGAAAAATTAAATAATAAGGACATTATTTTATTTGGCATAATGAGCGGGCTTTATGGAATTTGATCACGTGACCAACCCGTTTATGCTTAAAGTTGAAGCAGAAATATACTCTGCATCGTACAATTTAAAGTTTATTGATTTCCTTTTCAAACATTTCCCTTTACAAAGATGTTATAGCTCGACACCAGTTGGAGTGAGGTAGTTTAAAAAGTCGAATTGCTGTAATTTATTATATTTTTCAATGTAATTGGAAGTGGTTTGTTTGGAAACATTTTTCAATAACTTATAATTGTATTGATTAAGTACACTGAAAAAAAACCCATGCAGTATTAATTACTCTTCTACTACATTTTAATTACTTTCCGTATTTAAAGGGACCGACTGGGGTTTTCATTGCGCGATATTTCGCGCATCCTAGTACATGTAAAATGACGCGTATTTACTGTTTAAAATCAATTTTTATTCACTTAATTTAAGAAAATAAACAAAATTAGGAAATCGAAGGTTGAAAAATTTAATTACAATTTTCTATAAATAAATTTAAAATGAATTCGAACATTCAACTGATAGGTAAATTGTATGCGTAATCGTGTGTTTTTGACTTTATAATAACAGTGCAGCTCTCAATGAAGGGGTAATAAAAATGACATAAAAGAAAAAGTAAAATTTAGATAAAGCTGTATCATTGTTAAATTGAGAGCGAACATAGCTTTGCGACCTTGTGTTAACAATCATACCAACAATTGTAGCTTCTACCGATGTTTGAAAAAGAAACGTATTTGTTGAAAAAGGAAATAAAAATATAATTGCATGATATAATCAATCCTATATTTCTGTATTTTATTTCCTTGCAGGTACATTCTTGTGAGGAAGAAAAATGATTATAAACCAGAACTATATCATGAAAAAAATAAGAACCTTATTCCTGTGCGGATATGTTGGTGTTTTAGTCGTGTAATTATATTTAGTACTTCAAAAGAGGAACGAAAAATAATAAAAAAAAAATTAAAACTAAAGATTGTTCCTTGTTTTACAGTTTTTTCTATGTTGTAATGATAGAAAATAATGTTAATGCTAAACAATATTATGTTTATTGTATCAATTAAAATTTGTTTTCCCCAAAAAGAAAGATTTATTGTATTCGAGCCCCTTAGACTCATTTTGAACAATAATGTAATGCAGATATATTCTCTTGCATTTTCTACAAGTTTCCTTTGAGTCATATTATTGATTTGTCCCCCTCCTCCCCTGTCACCCGAAGATTTTTTCACTAATATTAAAGATGTCACTAATTGCCAGTAGAGGGATCATTTAGACGTGCAATCGCCACTTACAGCCTTTGAGCAGTGAGGGGTCCGTTCGTGCCAGCATCTACTGCAACAAGGGACTTCAGTCAATACTGTCTTACCCGAAGGAACGATCTCCGAACCAACGATCTTACTACGCGACCCCTTGAGTAAACGCTCTAAGCATTATTCAATGCAAACTTCCAGAGAGGAGGAATTTTGAATCTTGCATATTCTTAATTTTTTTCAGAACACAGGTTTGTAGAGTATCTTCTGAACGGAGTTGTATTATAAACACATCCCATGATGCACATAAAATACATGTAATTGTATGCTGACTGATATGTATGGCCGTCAATTTCTCTTAGTCCTATAACATTCTATGTGGCGACTTGGGCCTTGTTAAACTCTACTCCTTGACTGTAGATCCATAAAACACGTTCTGCCTCCAATCTATACCGAGGCCGAATACTGACCAGTATTGTGTCAAGTGCACGAAGAAGTCAAATTCAAACGAACGTTATAACATAATTGTTAAGCTATGAAATAAACACCAAATGTAGAGATAAAATACAGTATTTATTAGAAATTACCAAAATAAAAAAAAATATATATGTAAGACTCTAAAGTCCGATTGTGACGCCTTAAGTCCAATGGTCTGCTCCAAACCCCGATGGTTTGTTGTCGGTACGGACGCGCTGCGCTAAAGTGCGATGGTCTGAGACTTACACACCAAAGTCCGATCGTGCGTAGACACAATCAACGTTATGACGTTACAATAATCTGACGTCAATCCTTGAGACCGCTCTTCTGTATTCAAAAGACATCATGTCGGCATTCGTTCTCGCATCAATTTTACTAATTTTGCATCCAGCAAAGATATTAGGATTAGTCCTTGCACACCACTTGGCAGATTACGGATAGTCCTTACACACTATTGGACTGATAATAAGAAAACTTTGCACCAACCCGATAAGTTAAGGATTATAGTCCTCGCGCACTAATTTTTTGATTAGTTAGTATTGCAACCACCGGAGATTATCTTTCAAATTGTTATACTTGTTACCACACTTTTCGATTAGGGTTAGTTTTGCCCCTATGCGAGAGATAAGGGTTAATCCTCGCATGTGATTTTATAGGTATTCATTTAAGATCTTGACTTGGCGCAGCATTGCAATATGGAGCAGTAGTACTATGACGCCATAAACTTTCTTTTGCTTTCCGCAACATCGGACTTTGGCGTGTCGAACCATCGCGGTTTGGCGCAGACCATCGGACTTTGGCGTGACCATCGGACTTTTCAGTCCCTACGCACTTGGGAGTCCTACATATACATAACATGATAGGGGATCAGACCAAAAAGTATTGGCACAATATATATCAATATACTGATCCTTTAAATTTAAAACAATATATGCAAAAATACATAGACATGAAATATACAGCAAAAAGATGACACATCAAACATAAAAAAAAAAATGTACGAATTGTGATTGCCGATATTTTATATTTTGCAAGCGCACTTATCAGCACTCAGGATTTATACATGTAGTTGGAAAAATGAGACAGTGTTAATTTAATCAATGATACATGTTCTGATAGAAATAAAAAATACAATATATTTCCAACTGTTTTCCATGTGATGACTATTTGAAAGTCAGGCGTGTTTATTACTCGATAATTGTAACTGAATGTAATATTCGCCATGTGAAAAGTCAGTGCCTATTTTACATAATTATCAGTCTCTCTCAGCTGTCTTTGTCTCTGACATCAACGACAGTTTATACGTGAGATAATTTATGCACAACTGCCATCGAATGTTATGCAAATTATTCGACAATTCAAACTGTAGTTGATGCCCATGCACACCAAACAGACTGACAGTGATTCCATAAATGTGTGATTCATCTTTATACTACATTGTACGAAAGACAACTTCATAGAATAAGAGATGTTTTAATATATACCAAGATTTTGTGTAATGTCATTGAACCTTAGACTTAATTCGTATTGAACTTTACATTTTTTAGTTTTTAAGTTTGACGTTCAACATAAAGAATAATAACACAAAAATTTGGATTACGCTATATCTTTTGGCCGATTTTTAAAAATAATCAATAACTAAAATATAAAGAAATCGTAAGTTTTCTCTAGTGCTTTGATATGCGAATTTGTTTTGTGTCTGATCTTATAATAGACTTTGCAAATACTTTTTTTTCAAAATGTTTCAAAATCCTACAAAATTTTCCTACTTTACCTGGAAAATATGAATTAGCTAGGTCAACCTATTTGAATAGAAAGCTTTGTGAAATACTGCTACATATGTTATTTATGGAATAAAAGTTTATGTGGTTTTTTTTTATCCTTGAACCCTGACATCTGTGTTACATCTCTCGTTTTCATTCGGCAAGTGTTGAGAATCGATCCTGAATCCAAGGGTTATTTGACATCTGATGATGATTTTCGGTGGTTAATTGGTATCTCTTGATGCGAATAAAAATTCTTACCACAGCAATAAGAATATAGGTATTACCAAAGCCAGCAAGAATAAGGGAGATCGGAACCTCGACATTCGGTCGCTCGAGGCTATCGTAACTTTTTTTGAATTTTGATACTAAGGCGATTTCGCTAGTATTAACAGCTATAAAGCGAAGCAGAACAGCAAACTCAGTTGTCGCTGAAAATAAAAAGATAATTAATTATTAATTATAAAAAATGTTAACCATCAATATCAAGACATTTCATCCTGACATAATCTCCCGTGGGGATCCGGGTTAGAATAGGTCCTCAGTAACCCCTTGCTTGTCGTAAAAGGCGACTAAATGGGGCGGTCCTTCGGATGAGACCGTATAAACCGAGGCCCCGTGTCACAGCAGGTGTGGCACGATAAAGATCCCTCCCTGCTCAGAGGCCCAGAGTGCCGAGCATAGGCCTAAATTTGCAGCCCTTCACCGGCAATGGTGACGTCTCCATATCAGTGAAATATTCTGGAGAGGGATGTTAAACAGTATACAATCAATCGTGACATTATACATATATAACATTTTTGAATAAGTTTTCTTATTATATCACAAATGTAATAAGTTTCGCTATAAACCCTGAAAAATGCTGAGTCACACCGGAAACAGTTATGTCACGCCGGAAACAGTTATGTCACCCCCGACGGAAACAGTTATGTCACCCTTTCGATCCCGTTCACGTGTAGCATTTTAGTTCGTTTTCGATATTATATGACGTATTTTGCTAAGCAAAAGTAAACAACACAGCGTATTTCTTAACGTCAAGAAGGCATTTTTGGATTATTTGTGTAAATTTTAATGATTTTGAATGATTTTAAATTTTCTTTTAATTTTAAAAATGTCATATAACATATACCACATGGCTTCTCGGGCGACTATACCAGAATATTTGCCCCTCGGTGACAAGAAAGCCCTGGAGTGTTATGTCACCCTCTGCCTTCGGCATCAAATAACAAGACCTCGGGGCAAATTTTTAATTATACCCTCGAAGCCATGTGATATATGTATAATATCACATGGCTACGAGGGTGACATAAATATTTGCCTTGAGGTATTATTCACCCGATGCCGAAGGCATCGAAAGGATGACATAACTGTTTCCGTCGGGGGTGACATAACTGTTTCCGAAGGCCGAAAGCCCTGGAGTGTTATGTCACCCGATGCCGAAGGCAGGAGGTGACATAACACTCCAGGGCTTTCCTGTCACCGAGGGGAAATATTCTGGTATAGTCGCCCGAGAAGCTATGTGGTATATGTTATATGACATTTTCATAACTAAAAAAAATTAAATCATTTAAAATCGTTGAAATTTTCACAAATAATCCAGAAATACTTTCTTGACGTTAAGAATAACGCTCCGTTGTTAAAATTTGCTTAGCAACCGACGTCATAACATATCGAACCCGAGCTAAAATGCGTTGCGTAACAACACGTGAACGTGATCGAAAGGATGACATAACTGTTTCCGTCGGGGGTTGATATAACTGTTTCCGGTGTGACTCGGCATTTTTCAGGGTTTATAGCGAAACTTATTACATTTGTGATATAATAAGAAAACTTATTCAAAAATGTTATATAATCAGATAAATATATCTTGGTTTGAAACATCTGTACTAGTTTTTGTCCGAATTTGCAAGATCATTTTTCCATGTCTTTGTCTTTTAGTACGTTTTGTCATTTTAGTTAAAGTCCCTCCAAATATGTATCTCTGACAAATGCGACACTTTTAATAAAGGCAAGTGTTGGTATTCTTAAATAACAAAATGTCTTAGATTGTAGAATTCGAACACTTTAACAGGAAGACAAACATTGTTACCTGCAACTAGTAGAAATATTCCCCCTGTCAAACACATCAGTGGAATTGGCGCTGTTTTCCTGGTATTTGACAAAAGAACCAACCAACCGAATCCACCAAGAACAAGAGTAAGTAGGCTTTCCAACTGCACATCTAGCATTGCTGAAAAAGAAACATTTTTCTTTCCTGAAGATTTTCATTCCATTAGGGGACATTGATCCTTGGATGTAATTTTTTTTGAGACGATTATTTATTTATCCTCAAGCAGATTATTTATTTTCAAGATTATCATAGAGAGATTATTTATTTTCTTCTTTGTCTTGTCCGTGATCATTTTTTTTCATTTATATACATCAGATACAAATTTGGGGACTATAAGAGAGAGAGAGAGAGAAAGAGAGAGAGATGTCAATTTATTGGTTATTAAGCTAAAGTATGACATAATTAATACTGGTCATACCTTACTTTGAATGAAGGGGGTTCAGGGGGCTAAGCCCCCTGAAGCTCTTGGGTTTTTCTGTATGTAAGAGTAAAACCAGACATAATTGTGTAGGAATTGGTTAGATATGTACCAAAGTATGACATTATTAATACTAGTCATATCATACTTTGAATGAAAAGGGCCCAGGGGGCAAAGCCCCCTGAAGCTCTTGGGTTTTTGTGTATTTTAACAGTAAAACTAGGCACAAAAAGTATTGGTATTGTCCCAAAGTATGGCATTATTATTATTATTCGTATCATACTTTGAAATTTTAGGGGAGGGGTTGTACATATGTACGTCCCACTTAAATCCACCAGTGTATATTTTGTATTAATTTATCGGGGAAAGAAAATTTATCTTTTGTGGTGTATAAGAAGATTTGTTATTCATCACACCTACTAAGAGCACATTGTCATGTTGACAAACTAACTTAAGTATCCAGTCTGGTAATCTTATTTTAAATACTATTTGGTTCTAAAATTGCGAGCGAAGCGAGCCAAAATTTTTTTTTTGAATTGAAGACGTTTAAGATTAAATGACACGTAAATAAAAAAAAGTATTTTTCACAATATTTAAATATCATAAGTCAAGGTCAGATATTTATTTTCTCTGTAGTGGAGGAAAGATTATCTATTTTCAATATTTTCGGGGACAGGTTATTTATTTCCAAAATCTGCCACCCCCCCCCCCCCCCCCCCCCCTCAGAATCAAATGGTCGTCCCCTTACCTATGGTACGTTATGTACTCAAGCTCTTCAAATGTGTCCGTGTATTTTATTAAATTGAATACATCTGACAAAACTATTATGAGAGAGAGAGAGAGAAAGAGAAAGAGATATCAATTTACAAAGCTGAATGAATCCATTCGTATCGAGCTCCTCATCATCAGCTAGGTAAGTCTTTGTTGACCATGAGTCAGATCCAGACTCCTTATAGATAAAGTAAAAGATGCTCATCATTCGGTTCTACAAAAGAATAGATGTAAAGAGATTCGTATTTCCTGAACTCTGTAAAACATACAAATGTATTCTCTCTTATTGTTATATTGCAGAAAAAAATAAAAATTACCTCATTAATAAGGAATCCAGGTGTTACCGTAGCAACAGCACAAAAAGCTAAGCCTAAACCAGACGATAATAGAGGCCATCTCTCTCTCTCTCTCTCTCTCTCTCTCTCTCTCTCTCTCTAACATATGACTATAGCTCAACAGTTTTTCCACTTTTTATGCTGCTTTAAATCAGGCTACACATTCGCTCTTTGGAATATTTTATTTACTATGCTTACATCATAGTTTATTTTTTTCTCCACGTCTTACATGAAAATTATTAAGCTCACCCGAGTCAAACGGGTAATTTTATTGTTATCCCTCTTTGTCCATCGTCATGCACTATGTTTCGGTTGACAACTTTTGAACTTATTTTTTTGAATCACTTATTTATAACCATTTTCAACAAATTGAGAATACATATTTTAAAAGCATTAATAGGTGAAGGATACAAAAATTGGTAAATTTATTATAACTGACTTCCCAAT